AAGGTGGAAGGTAAATAGGCCAGGTCAGGTACAGGAGAGCAGAAATGTAGTCAGGTAAGCGAGGTCAAAATAATAGAAAATCAAGATCAGGACAAAATATCACTAAGAATTCTGGAACCATAAAAGGACCTGAATGAGCCAAAGAGCTTGCTTTAATCCCTTAATGATGGATGACGGACCCGGTCCATCATGCCGGGAAAAAGCACTTAACGCCGAATGACGGACCAGGTCCGTAACACGCAGAAGTTAACCCCAGATCGCGGTGATCGCGGGGTTAACGCTCCTCCTGTCTGCCTCGGTATTCGAGGCAGATCGGGAGCACCCGATCGTGCTGTCCCTGCAGCAGTGATCGCTCTGACAGGGTGTCAGAGTGAGCACACGTGCTGCAGCGACTTCTGATCCACCTCCCTGTACTTCCGCATTCTGTGTGAAGTGCAGGGAGATGGATCAGCAGTGATGATCTTCTCCCTGTAAATAAAACTAGTTATCTTAAAATCCCACCCACTTTCCCCAGCTTTAATAAAATTAACCCCTTCCCTGCCAATTGATCACTGATGTCAGTGATCAATTGGCAGGGACTACATTTTACTCTGATCTGATTTTTTTTTTTAACCCTGAGGGGTTAAATTTATTTATTAATTAATTCAAATATATTAATATTATAGATTTAGCTAGCAGGGGTGGGTGGAAGTTAGTGGTGAATTGGGGAATTTGGTGTTAGGTTAGCAAGGGGTTGACGTGAAAAAAAGTTTTAAAAAGTAAAAAAAAGTTGTAATAATATTTAAAAAATATGAAAAAAATCCCACCCTCCTTTACCCAGTCCTAATAAAAATGAACCCCTTCCCTGCCAGTTGATCACTACCTACAGTGATCAAAATACAGATCACAGTATTGTACTGTGATTCGATTTTTTTTTAACCCCTCAGGGTTTAACTTTTATAATTTTTTTAACCCTCAGGGGTTCTATACTCTAAAATGGGACATAACGTAAAATTTCAAAGTTTGAAAAAAACTGGAATGACTGTGTTTCAAATGTGCCCCTTCAGTGTCCACATATACCTGGCAAAGGTACATATGGGGGTATTTCTGTACTCAGACGACATAGTTGAGAAACATATGAAGTATTATACAGTTGAAGCACACATAAGGTTTGCAAAATATACTGTGCAAACTCACGTTGTGTGTCAAAAAGTCAGAAAAAAACGCTTATTACCACTACACTTGGTACAAGCTAGCGGAAAAATGATCCCACGCTAAGGTTCAAAATATCCCTTTTAAAATACCCTGAGATGTCATTTTTAAGAAATGGTATGCCTTTATGGTGTAGCTGGAATATGAAGCCTGCTCAAGTGCTCCAAAGTGGGACACGAATGCATCTAAACCCTCCATGAAAATTCACACTTAAAAACCTAAACTTGTCACGTCTCTTTTACAGCACTGTAACTTCACAAAATAGTGTCTAGGTCATACATTGGGCATATTGTTTTACTCAGAAGATGTAACTGAGCATAATTTGGGGGATTTTATGACAGTGGCACATATCAAGTGTAAGAAAAACTCAGCAAAAAATGCATCAATGTAAAATTTGCAATTTTTTCCCCCCTCACCACAAACATTGACATAAATTGGTGAAAAAATGGTGACAAGTTAAGACACAAAATACACCATATAAGATACCTTGGGGTGTCTGCTTTATCAAATGAAAGCCCTTTGTGGGGTTATTTAAACAGTCACACTTCTATAATACCCTAAAATGAGACATAGGCCCGTCAAATCCATCTACGAAAAAAGTGTGTGTTTGTTTGTGAAGGATGCATAGGGTCTATGCTGTGTGTAGGTGGGTGAGATGTCTCCCCCTCCTTTCTTCTTACCTTTTACCAGCAAGGTGGTACATAATGCAAGTCCTGGTGGTCCAGTGGTGGCATGTTTACTTTGGCCTGCCGCTCCTCTGGCTGTAGGCGGACTCTCCTGTCCTTCTGCAAGCACAGCACTGTATTGGAGCATTGCCATGGTAGCGCACGGCAATGATCTGACCAGGCTGCTCGCAGGAGGAACACAGTGCCAGCGGGCAAGTGTGGAACATTTATGATCTCATCACCAGCCCGAGAGGGCTTACAGCAAGACTGGCTCTGCATGGGCTGGCACGGGAGATGAAAGGAACTAGGCCCACCGGGAGTTTTCTACAGAACCCACCACCGCCCACCTGAAATCCCAAACCGCCCACTAATGGGAGGTTGGGACCAGGTTGACTACCCATGTTCTACACTTTTCCTAATGTACTTATATATCATAAAATATGCAATGTAACTGTAAGCCTACCAACTGTTTCTAAATGTTGAATCTTATGCTAGCAACCGCTGTTGGGGCATTGCTGGCCTATTTGTACCAAAACTGCACGAAAAAATAAAGAGTTTAAAAAAAAAAAAAAAATATATATATATTTTACATTTAAAAAAAAAATTAATTATATATACATATGTAATTTCATTCTAACTGTATTTTGTTATATATATATATATATATATATATATATATATATATATATATATTGTGATCTTTGTCTGCAGGTAGCACGGTCCTCTAGGGCAAAAACATGCACAGTCTTTCAATGCAACTTCATTCCAGGCACTTTATTTGTAAGTTTACATATGAGGCAGCAGCAAATGAAAACATAAATATAAAAGGTTTCCCTTTAAACAAAAACCTAACTCGTCTGAGCACTGACTCACTTTGTATATCCCTCTCTATCAGGGTTAAACTAACAAAAACATATTGCACCAACCTTATTAGATAGCAACACTCTGCTAGCTAGCCTGTTGCTTTCCTTTCTGCACTCCCAGTGCTCCAGGCCAGCCTTGCCCTGACTGCTTTCCTTTCTGCACTCCTAGTGCTCCAAGCCAGCCTTGACTGCTTCCTCCTGCACTCCCAGTGCCCCAAGCCAGCCTTGACTGCTTCCTTTCTGCACTCTCAGTGCCTAGTCTCCTTGACTCTCTATCTGGAGAGAACAGCCTCTCTCCTACCTGCTTCCTGGGAGGAAGACAGCAATCCCTCTCCTCTTTTTCCTGCCTAGCCGGGAGGGGTTTATTCCCACTGCAATAGCTCGTTAACTGCAGCTGAGCAGTGGGTTGGAGACGGTCCAAAAAACCCTGGCTTGGATCTATGTCTCCCCAGAAAACCACTAAACTGTGGAGTGGAGCATTGGCCCACCCTTCTCTCCAAATGCTCCACCCCAGGGGCCCATAACTAAACAATGCTTTGTGTTGTGCAACACACAAACTACACGTACTTCCCCTGGGGTTAAAAGGCCTATCTGCCTTCACTTTATCACATATCCTCCCCCCCAGCTCAGACCCATCGGGTCGAGCGACCTTAGAACACAAACCATGAACATTCACGTCACCTAGGGCTGTACCAGCCCTGACTTGCTCCTCAGTTACAGGAAGTGGCCTATTGTAGATGGCTGCTACCTTGCTTTCCAGTTTCCCCGCTTATCTGGTTGCTAGCGGATCTAGGCTGAGGATCAGTACTGTGTGGCTCCTTAGTAGCCAAGTTCCTCTGAATCATCATCTGCTTCCACATCCACTGCAGCTTCTGGTTTGATAGTCTCTCAATGTCCGAGTTACTTTCAAACGCAAACTTTACAAAAGCTTTGAGTGTAACTAACTTTTCTATATCACTTATACGTCCAGTTCTTTCATAAGATGAATTTGCTGGGTGCTCAACCTCTTCAAGACCTGGTTCTGTCACCAGCTCATCCTCCACTGGAACCGGTCCCTCCATGAAGGGCTTCACAACATCCTCCATCTGTTCTGTGAACCCCTGGGAACCTTCCTTGCTTTCTACGGTTAATGCTACAGGTCTCATCTCTATATCCTCAGGGGGTTTGCCAAGGAGGCTGTCTAGAGCACCCTCCTCCTGCATGAATGCAGCCTTTGATCCCAGCTCCATCCCATCATGCTCAGCCTGGCCTGGCATGGAGCGCTGTTCTACCTGAGGCCCAGACTCCTGGCTTAGTTCATCTCTCCTTTGCCTGGTTTCCTCCGCAGGGGTATCCTCCGCTTGCTCGGCCTTGAGTGGCCACCTCTCAATGTCAGAAATGCTTTCCTCTGGGCTGTCTGGCAGTCTCCCTGTTCCCTTGGGGGTGTCCAGAGATGCAGTCATGGCCTCTCGCTGGATCATGACAGCCCCGGTATCAAACAGCCGGTCAGGCAGTCCGAGTCCCGCCTTTAATTCCACGACTGTGTTCCCAGAGTCTGGCAGCTCTTCCAGGTAGTTAGTGCGCCCAGGCCTTGTAGCAGTAGTCTTTGCCAGCAGATCCAGTTCTATGGCTCCCGAACAATCCTTCAAAGTCTTTGTAGCAATACCAGATGTATTTGAAATATTTAATTTAGCTGCGCCAATGTCACCTGCTTTGTAACTTTCGCCTTGGTCGGGCTTAGGTGCGGACGTGCCTATCTTATCACCACAGCTTGGTTCTGTAATTGTCGCTCTCTTGGCTTAGATCAGAAGCAGCTACTTTGCCTTTCTTTTCTCTGCCAAACTGTTCAACAGCTGGTCGACATTCTTGGGTAGCCTCGGCTACTAAACAGTGCACCGCATTGCTATACTCAGCTGGGGTGCTTTGCTTCTCTCTATTAAGCTCAGCTCTTTTGCGGTTGTCTTCTCTGACTCCCCAAGTCAGTCTGCTTTTCATGCCTTTAACTTGTTCACTTGGGTGTACATCAGGGGCTCCTGCTTCGTTTTCTTTTATATGTGATCCCCCTGGAATTGCATCTATTCCCTTCTCTTCACCAGTCCTTCTGGACGCTTCACTTAGAAAATCTAGAACTCTTGTTTCCACTATAAAATCTGGGTTCCACAATAACTGGTCATCATTTTCATACACTCTTGCAGTTTCCTTGTACTTGCAGATGCCAACTGGAATCTCTGCCTGGAACATGGAACCAACCATTATTTCCTTTTGCCAGTCTTCTGAAGGAACATAATCCTCATCATCCTCTGATTCTTCTTCTATTTCATTATTTGCATAAAAATACTTGCACCTCCGTGGCCTGATTGCCTCTTGTACATCCCGACATGTAGCAGATGGCACTGTGTCATCGTTACATGATTGAGTCTCATCTTCCGGTCCAGAGGAATCTTTAATGGTCTCATCCTTGTTTTCCACACTGCAGGCACTGTTCCGGTCATTCTCCTCCTCTTCTTTCGTTACCTTGGGAAGATTTATCAGTACCTTTCTGTTTTCAAATGTCTTTCCAGCATTCTCTTGAAACATGCAAGATTCAGTTTCTGAGCATGAAAATATTTTTGTTTCCAACTCTTTTCCCAAGATCGCTTTATCTGTTGTGATGCCACTTACAGCAAGTTTGAGGCTTTCACGTGAAGCTGCAACGTTTTGATTCTCAAATAAACACTTGTCAACTTCGGTAATCAGTTTGCCTCTCTCCCCCTTCTGATTCTTCTGCCCTTTCTTACTTTGGTGCATGCCATCAGTGTCACCATCACGGTCTCTTGACAATTCCGCTTTTTCCTTTAGTTTTGCAGGTCTGTTTACTAACCTTTTCTCTTTTTGGTCCTTGGAGGATTCATCTGGCTGTTCACCTTCTTCCACATTAGCACTACTTCCAGGCTCAATTTTATCTTTCTTGCCTTCTAATTCCTGTTCTCTCTCTTCTGTGTGTTTCTCAATATCATGCTTTGCTGCCCCCATGCTTTTCAGCTTGCTAAAGACTTCTTCTACTGCCTCTGTCATCTTATGCAGGATGTCAGTAGCTTGGTTACGGGGTCCCTTGTCCCCACACACCCTGCCGGAGAACAGCCTCTCTCCTACCTGCTTCCTGGGAGGAAGCCAGCAATCCCTCTCCTCTTTTTCCTGCCTAGCCGGGAGGGGTTTATTCCCACTGCAACAGCTCGTTAACTGCAGCTGAGCAGTGGGTTGGAGACGGTCCAAAAAACCCTGGCTTGGATCTATGTCTCCCCAGAAAACCACTAAACTGTGGAGTGGAGCATTGGCCCACCCTTCTCTCCAAATGCTCCACCCCAGGGGCCCATAACTAAACAATGCTTTGTGTTGTGCAACACACAAACTACACGTACTTCCCCTGGGGTTAAAAGGCCTATCTGCCTTCACTTTATCACAATATATATATATATATATGTAACAAAATACACTTAGAATGACTATATATATATATATATATATATATATATATATATATATATATATATATAAATATAACATACAAATAACCGGTCAGAAAATACAAGGACTAAAATAACATTTTAATGTGAAACTATTTTAGAAGTTGGTATGTTTGTCTTGCAGGTTTAGTAGCCACTACAGAAAACAAAATTGCCACACAAATGTATATATTTATATAAAGTAGACATCACAGGCTATTTACCTAAGGTTAGTTTGACACTTTTTACGTAACCATTTCATCACCAATCTCTGCTAAATATTGGAGTAAAATTGTGCCTTTTCTCTTTTTTGGCATATACACATGTAACAAGGTTTTGTAATGTGTATTTCGTAAAGATGGAGTGTGATATTCATGCACAGAACCCTATATTGTGTTCAGCTACATCTGTTGAGTATAACGATACCCCCATTGTATGCCTTTGGCACTTTTCTGTAAAGCTACAATGCCATATAAGAGACAAGGCTATTTCAGTTTCTATTTTCGGAGATGGATTTGACGGGCCTATGTCTCATTTTAGGGTATTATAGCAGTGTGACTGTTCAAATAACCCCACAAAGGGCTTTCATTTGATAAAGCAGACACCCTAGGGTGTCTATTATAGTGTATATTGTGCCTTAACTTGTCACCATTTTTTCACCAATTTATGTCAATGTTTGTGGTGAGGGGGGAAAAATTGCATTTTTACATATATGTTACATTTTTGCTGAATATTTCTTGCATTTGATATGTACCACTGTCATATCTGATCTGATGTTTTCAAGTGTGAAATCTCCCCCCTCTTTCTGTACACATATGTGTACACATGTGTTTGTATATTTGAGATGTATATGTATGATTACTTATGCAAGATATGTTTTAATACTTTTCATGGTATCTTTATGTATAATTAGGTCTTTGTAATAATTATATTTATGTACATATGTTTTGATTTTGTTTTGATGTTTATTTTGCAAGTTGAGTTTGTGCCATGGTTTTGGCCAATGATAACGTTTAGGCGATACATCAAAAGGACATGTGGACTTTTAAATTAATGTATGCAATCATTCTAATGAGAGACTTAAATTATGGCCAATAGCGAAGTGGGGCTGTAACGTAACGCCTACAATGAAAACTACAAAAGGAAATGGCAGCTGAATGATGACGTGATCTGAGGAAGCCGTCCTAGGTGAAACGCGTCATCATGTCCGCATACGCATTGACGTCATGAAGCCAACACGTGACGGAACGTAGCCCCGCCTCCCAGAAGAACCCCCTGCATCCTGAACCTGGCTGTAGTGTGACAATCCACTAATTACTAAGCTACTTAGAATATCTTCAAACCTACTTGTATATAAACATAACATAGAAACATAGAAACATAGAATGTGACGGCAGATAAGAACCATTCGGCCCATCTAGTCTGCCCAATTTTCTAAATACTTTCATTAGTCCCTAGCCTTATCTTATAGTTAGGATAGCCTTATGCCTATCCCACGCATGCTTAAACTCCTTTACTGTGTTAACCTCTACCACTTCAGCTGGAAGGCTATTCCATGCATCCACTACCCTCTCAGTAAAGTAATACTTCCTGATATTATTTTTAAACCTTTGTCCCTCTAATTTAAGACTATGTCCTCTTGTTGTGGTAGTTTTTCTTCTTTTAAGACTTTATGCATTTACTCTTAAAGTACCCTGTTTGTGGCATATTGCCTTTATTCTGTTTTATCTCTCAAAGTATCCTTTTGGTGGCATATTGCCTTAATTCTTTCTTTCAAGTGAATTGTTATGTCAAAAAAGACAAAGTTTCAACCAATAACCCTGGCAATCGTCTCCTCTCTGAATCTGCTCAGGAACATGGCAGAATGTAAAGGCCCTAAACCGGAGACTACAGGGTTAACCAGGATTCTAACACTCATTGCTGAAAGCCTCTCAGAACTCTGCAAATCTATTGCTTGCTTGTTGCAATCACTCCTGCATATCACCTGTGAAAAAACCTGAGAAAAAGAAAAGGATTTCTCCTCCTAAGGGTTTTGTCCCTCTACTTTTCCCGAAATATCTCCTTTTTATCTCAATTTATGGGTTTCGTCCCTTTGAAGTTGCAGATGCTAAAAGAATTTCTCCTCCTAAGGGTTCCGTCCCTCTACAAGAAAAAGAAAAGGGTTTCGTCCCTCTGAAGTTTACATGAAACTATCGCGTCCAGAGTCCACTTTTGAAGGAGGGGATTATGTCAGGATCCTATCCTGACAACCAAGGTATTGTTTTATTGTATTGCTGGAATACCTGTTTCTCGACTCTAGTGGCCTCCTTAACCACTAGTCAGTCCTCAGTTTCTCTCACCTGCCTCATATGATTTTCCATGTCTGCTATAAAAGGCCACACCTAACTCTTCATATGGCCTTTACATTGAAGTCAGTGTTCTGACATTGAAGTCAGTGTTCTGACATTGAAGTAAGTGTTCTGACATGGAACTTCTGATCCTGTAACCTGACTCCTGAAAACATCCTGTATCCTGACTCCTGAAAACCTCCTGATCCTATATTGAGACTCCATGTCCCCCGTTGCCAGAATCTACTTACCTGTCTCAACTGCTGCAAGTCTGCATAATCCTGTAAGCAACCTGTATTACATTATACTGGAATCTACTTACCAGCTTTAACCATTTCAACCCTGTATCATCCTGAACCTGGCTGCAGTGTGACATTCCACAAACTACTAATCTACTGTAGATGAGATATATCAGTAGTTATTGCCAGCCAGGAGAGAATTGTCAGCATTCTTCATGCACAGGTACCACCATGTGATAAAGAGAACCAAGGGTTTCTTTTATATACATGCAAAAAGTGGTAGGGCTCTAGCGAATAAGTTGAGGGGGAAAAGAACCACATACCCAAATTCACAAAATTCTAAAACCAGAACGAAAAACATGGGTGTTGCAACAGGACAATGACCCAAAGCATAGAAGTAAATCAACAACAGAATGGCTTAAACAGAAGAAAATACGCCTTCTGAAGTGGCCCAGTCAGAGTCCTGACCTCAACCCAATTGAGATGCTGTGGCATGACCTCAAGAAAATGATTCACACCAGACATCTCAAGAATATTGCTGAACTGAAACAGTTCTGTAAAAAGGAATAGTCAAGAATTACTCCTGACCGTTGTGCACGTCTGATCTGCAACTACAGGAAACGTTTGGTTGAAGTTATTGCTGCCAAAGGAGGTTCAACCAGTTATTAAATCCAAGGTTTCACATACTTTTTCCACCTGCACTGTGAATGTTTACATGGTGTGTTCAATAAAAACATGGCAACATTTCATTCTTTGTGTGTTATTAGTTTAAGCAGACTGTGATTGTCTATTGTTGTGACTTAGATGATGATCAGATCACATTTTATGACCAATTTGTGCAGAAATCCATATCATTCCAAAGGGTTCACATACTTTTTCTTGCAACTGTATTCCACCCCTTACCTACTTAGAGCCATGTAAATGTCAAATCGTTTGGAAACGGTTTGACAGCTTACAGTGCCAGGGGACTGCTGGCACACTGACTGCTGACAGCACTCTATAGTAGTTATGTTGCTTTGAGTATCCCTATAAAACAGAGCTCTGATGTAGCCGATACACTGGGAAAGATTTATTAAAATGGTCTGAAATGTGTCTTTTGTATTTAGTCTCTAATCTGTTTCCATTTATGAACTTGTTCTAAAAAACTTTGGCTTCAATTCTGCCCTTTTCAGAGAACAATCCATTTCAGAAAAGACCACCAAATTTAGAGCTGAGAAAATAGAAGTGAAACAAACACTTTTCTGACAGACGAATTCCCTTATGATGCTAGCAAAAATGGTGTACTTTCGAAAATCATGGTTAGGGTGCAAGAATGTTTTTTTTTTTTTTAAATGAGACTTATTCAATAAATTGTACCAAAATACTAGGCAAACATCTCCAAAAAAGGGAGCTAAACTTTCTGTGACACTCAATAAATCTACCCCGAATTATCCCTCTCCATACCACAAATGAAGTGAAG